TCGGTGGGAGTTGAGTTTTTTTGGTGGTATGGTGTGAAATAAAAACACTGGAAGTACACGCATTTCTCTCTCAGAACTGAACTCTAGTATCACACTGTCTTTGCATCCTGCTGTCCAACTATCCCTCTTAATTCCCCTCAGAGACTGGCATGTAATGAGAAATGTCTCCTAGTACTCAGACTGTATTACAGAAGATATGAAGAATATTACTTTCTGCATTTATTTTTTTTGTATGCATTTCCCCAGCTTTGATTTTTCATAAGCATTTTCGCCAAATGACAAATCACAAAATGAATAAAACTTCAGTCACTAGAGAAATCAAATCCCTAGTTCTTACACTCAGATTTGTTGTTCATTACTTTTACTTCAGATCAAATACCTAAAACCCCTTAGATAATGTTTGAAGTGTCGAGACAAGGATTTTGATTAATATAATATTCTCTATCCTAAAAAAATCAGTATCAGGATTTTCAAGTAAATTAAAAAATTTACCTAATTACTTTTATTGTAATAAATTATTATAATATTATCATTCACTTTATAAAACGGTTTGTTCCAGTCCTGGATTCTGATTGGTCAGCAGTGTTTTATATTCACGATAAAACACAGCTATGACCGCTTCACCCAATGGTTCTGTGTATCACTGTGCAAGACCCTTAGCAACATAAACAATCAATAATATAGTGTCAAAGCTGTTTATGTATTTCAGCAAAATGAACTGTGTGTTATTTATTTAATGAAGTATGAGTGACCCCTGGTGATGTTGTGTTGCATCATTCATCTTTAATTTTGAGACCACACCCTTCCCCCTTCAAAAAAACAGAAGTTTTCTCATGCTGAGAGATAAGCAGATGTATGTATGTGCGAAAATATCATATATGGTGTTAAAAAAATAAATGACAGTAAATTCCTATTCTCTGTTTTTATTTGAGCTCCATAAGATGAGGCATGTTACATCGGAACATTCTCTTGCCGTTTACTGTTGCTGTCAGGAACTATCTTTTAGCAGAAGGACAGCATTTAACGAACTTTCTTCAAAAAAGTAACCTATCAATACATAAATGTTTGGTTTTCATATTTTTTATTGTGGTAACCGTTTTATAAAAGCTATAAGGTACTCGAGGCCTTGCTGTTTTGTGAATAAGTCACGGCTGAAGGGGTTGCAGGCACTGCACTTTGTGTCTTGCCTAACAACGCCCAGTATTTACAGTACACGCTCAATTTACAGCACACAAATAATATATTTATACATAAAGCTGCATGCATAAAGCATGGCAAGACGAATGGAGGAAAGAAGAATAGTGGGCAAAAACCGAAAGACAATGACAAGGACTGTCAAACACCAAGAAGGATTGTGTACAAACAACACAGAACTACTGCTGCCAGCAAACCTCAGTATCCACTCTGAAGACCCTGTTTTTTAAAAAAAACAAAAAACACAGAGAACATCACAGAGCTACATTGCTAAAACTTTCATCGCAGACGCCAATGCTAAAATCAAAAAACGATGGAGTCACGATCATAAAACCTGGATGGCTGGAGCACCAAAATGAACTTCACCCTCTGCCCTGTCCAGACAAATCCCCTCGAATATTATCAAACTACTGTAGGCAGTTTTAGAGAGAGGAGTAAGAAGCAGATTCCCTCCTTCAACATCTCTGAATCAACTGGCAGATGTTCTTATAGACAACATTCAATTGGAGACTAGTCAAAATGTGTATGAATCTATTCTAAGATGGTTGGAAGCTGTATTAAAGGGTTAGTTCACCCAAAAATGAAAATTATGTCATTAATTACTCACCCTCATGTCGTTTCAAACCCGTAAGACCTTCGTTCATCTTCGGAACACAAATTAAGATATTTTTGATGGAATCTGAGAGCTGTCTGACCCTGCATAGACAGCAACGCAACTGAAATGTTCCCAAGTCCAGAAACGTAGCAAGGAGATCTGTAAAATAATCCATGTGACATCAGTGGTTCATCCGCAATTATATGAAGCTACGAGAATACTTTTTGTGCGCAAAAGAAAAAAAAAAAAGACTTTATTCAACAATTCATCTCCTCCGCATCATGTTGTGATTTGATCTGAACGGAAACAGCATATCTGTGTGACGCAGCTGGCACAGAACAGCATATATTTACGTCCAGCGGATATTCTCCAAAATGGCACCATCAACGAATTGTTGAATAAAGTCGTTTTTTTTTTCTTTTGCGTACAAAAAGTATTCTCGTAGCTCCATATAATTGTGGATGAACCACTGACGTCACATGGATTATTTTACAGATCTCCTTGCTACGTTTCTGGACTTGGGAACATTTCAGTTGCGTTGCTGTCTATGCAGGGTCAGACAGCTCTCAGATTCCATCAAAAATATCTTAATTTGTGTTCCGAAGATGAACGAAGGTCTTACGGGTTTGAAACGACATGAGGGTGAGTAATTAATGACAGTATTTTCATTTTTGGGTGAACTAACCCTTTAAGGGCAAATTATGGTAAAACTACTTAATTAGGAAATATTGACTATGTCCCAGGTGTTCACATTATTTTGTCTAGAATTTTTCTGCCTGCCTATCTAAAAGTTCTAGGCACACGCTAGTCGCATGTAGTCAGTAATGCTGACAGCCCGGCAGAGTGGAACAGATATACAAAGGTGTGTTTGATCCCTAACAGGTGGGCATGGGTTGAGCCAGTGACTGCAGAAAATATGACTTGCCCTCAGGCCTTGGAGGAGGAGTGGGATGCTGGATGAACTACAGTGGGCCGTACTGGGCACAGCATACAGAAGAACCAGCAACCCGAGGGGAGGGAGAGGTCTGGAGTCCACAGAAAGTCACAGAGGTCTGAGGATAAAGCCCTGCAGCATCCCACTAATGTTAACATTCTAATCCACATGTGTGCAGCAGCAGTCATGAAAGGCTGGTTGTAAGACTGTGTAAGAGTGTGTTTTTGTTTTGGTGTACATAAGTGAGTGAGAGAGTCTTCACTCAGACTTCTGCAGAGGAGACGCAGTGCGTCTGCACATATAAACACAAACACACACTCCGCCACACTCAGGAAAGCTGATTTTCTCAAGACCTCATATCCACCCCAAAACACACACACACACACACACACACACACACACACACAGGAAGACATTCACTCTCCCAACACACAAGAGTGTCTCTCTACTGCAGTCATTCCCATCCAAGGGTGGAAAATTATCAATTTTGTTTGGTTAAAACTATAAAACACAAGTTATGACTTAAAAAATAAAAATTAAAAATTAAATAAAATAATGTTGACAAATATAATCTTGTGATTTTTCCCCCCAGCAATTAATCACTAAACAATTTTAAGGAAAGAGATCAATATAGTATGTGTGAGGCAATTTATGTGGATGACACTTACAGCAGAACATATTTGCATATACAGTATAAAGTAGAATTTCTTTCTAGATTTCTTTCTCTGCTCATATCGCTTGCACTTCCTGAGAAAACAACTAATTTTTTTACCCATTTGACTGCATCAAATGTCTCAAATCAAACTAAATCTAGTTATAAAATAATAGATTCAATATTTCTCAAATTGCTTCAATTTACTCAAATTGTCTCAGTTTGAGCTACTTGGTGTGTGAGTTTTTCACCCACTGTTTTTAATTTAATTTAGAGTGAATTATTGCAATAATGGCCATATCTAGTATAATCAGCATTAGAAGAAACACATTTCTGATTAGCTGTAGATGACTTGAAGCCTTCTGATGGGGCTGTGAGGGCACATCAGACAAAAGAAAAAAAATGTAGTGAAAAGCTGCTTGTGACGCTGAAGGTTACTAATACTAAACTCTGAATCATAGATTGACATGAGCTGTTGTAGAAAACTGGTAAAAAAATGTTTACATGTGAACATTGAAACACAATGGAACAGTATGGAAATGAAAGCCTTGGGATTAAGGCTCCTGGCTAATAATTGAGGGTATCATAAGTGCAGGTCACTGGTCAGAGAGACATTTCATATATCCTCTATTCATGCCCCACAATACAGGTTTAATGAGGTCAATCACAATGTCTCGGTGCAGGAGATATAAATGAGATTTTGAAACAGACTGGCAGATCAAAAGCGAAAGCAAATTGGAGAGGGAACAATAAAGAATAAAAAGGAAGTCAGAAAGAAAATAAAAAAATTCAAATTGCAGGAATTTCATTGAACACAAAAAAATAAAAAATTGAAAGGGCAGCACATATGTTTTTTTGATTCACCAAAAAAAGAAAAAAAAAATCTCTGCAAAACTGCCCACTGTATAATTATCAAGACGTATGTGCTTTAGGATCATTTATTGGATCAATTTGCTCAATAATTTGTGATTTGGAAGAATATATGGTGTGTTTGTGTTTGTGTATCTCAAACTGTAGGGAACGGCACCAAAAAGAGTAGAAAATGTGAATATGTGTAAATATTCACATATATGAATATTTATATAATAATAATAATTTTGAAAACTGATCAACAAATAAAGAGATCTGTTTAAATAGTATATAATATTACAAACAACTTCTAATGCAAATAAATTATTTTTCTTTGTATTCTTCAACTTTGTATTCATCAAAGAATCCTGAAGAAAATTCTGAAGGATCATGTGACACTGAAGACTGGAGTAATGGCTGCAGCTTTGACATCATAGCAATAAATAACATTTTAAAACAAAATATTAATAAAATAATATTTCATAATATTACATATATGATTTTTTTCTGTAATTTTGATCAATTAAATGAAGAATGTGCTTTTTCATTCCACTGCACTACTTTTCCATTATTTATCTATGTGAACATGCTAGACAGACTTGTTTGCCTGATGCACTTGAATCTTTTGGGTCTCACAGTGTGTCTATTATTTGTAAAAACGTTTTTTATTTCTATAAATCATTTCAAGTAAAAATAACTTTTTCTCTGGCCCCCTGAGGAGTATAAGAGACTTTATTTACATTGGTAATTAACAGTGTAAGACTGATTTCACTCACTCGTATGGGTCGCTGGGGTCTGGTCCTTGTAGTTCAGATGGGATGGGAATGCGTTTATAGTACATCTCCCAGTCAAAGGCTCCCCTCATGGCGTCCCCCGCCTGTGCCTCGTATCCAAAGTGGTTATGGTCAATCACGTCTATCATGGGACACACAATGGTTTTGGGGTTCTGTGCGATCTGGTCTGCAGGCAGAGGGCAAGGAGAGAAAAGGAGAAGAAAAGTTAGGTAAAGCTAGAAATCTTCCCTTTCCGTCTCTTCACAAACACTGCGTGGAGAAGAGGAGGAGAGGAAAGAAAAGAAAGGGGAGGCAGCGCCTCTCAGGAGTCTCCCTCCTCTCCTGGATCACTTGCTCTCCTTCGCTCTGCTTGGCTGAGTGTGGTGACCCTGTGAAATTTAAAGCCGCCACAGCCGCCCGGCGATTAGAAACAATTACAGCGCTTCAAAGTAGGTTTGCTCCACGGAGGGCCGAGCAGAAAGGACCCTCGGCCCTTAACTCTATCTCTGTCAGTCAGCAGCCGCTAAGCCGTCCCAGATCTGTCACCCACACTCTCCCTCAACCCCACTGCACTACTGGACCATGGAGATCACAGAGAGAAAGCAAAAGAGAGGGAACAGACCTGGAACATGGGCTTAAAAACACAACACCACACACCTTAAACAAATACATCATGAAGATTAAACTCAAGAGCTGTCTCTGTCTGTCTGAAACTGAGGCTGCAGTGACCATTGCAAGACTCAGTGCTTTAGTCATACTCACAATGATAATTGCTGATGAATGATCATTTTGTTTTAGAAAATGAAGTCTCTTAAAACACACTTTACTAGACTTTTATGAACTTGGTTTTTATCCAAGGCAACTTACATTGCATACAAATGAGATATTTTATGAGTCTATGCATTATTTAGGAATAAAACCTGACTTTGGCATTGCTATAGCACTATGCTTTGCTGTTTGAGCTGTATGATTTATTGATTGATTGATATACATTTTTATTCAGCATGGCTGCATTAAATTTATGAAAAATGACAGTAAGGATATTTGTATTTCTCTTCCAAACAACATTTTTTTTTCTATTCATCAAAGAATCCTCAAATAGCACAACTGTTTTCAACAATAATTACAAGAAATGTTTCTTGAGCACCAATTCAGCATATTAGAACGATTTCTTTTTTCCCCCTGAAAGTAATGAAAATTCCCACCACAGCGTAATTTCCACCACAGCTAAAATTATGCGTTAATTAACATTCTTTGATGGAAATTACACTTTTGTCTTGCTAATAGCAATTTAAAAAAGTGTCTTAAATACCTAATATTTTCATGCATTTTGAATAATTCAACAAAATTATGCAGCCTGAATGGAAAAAGTTTTACACTAAAAATAAAAAAAAATAGTTCTCTATATTTTCACACATCATGTCTTGTTTCATCTCAAGCTCTTCACTGACACTTCACACTTTCATATTTCCTGAAAAACTGATATTTTATATTTTTACACAATAAATATATATATATATATTATGAATTGTCATAGTTTAAGATTTAAAGTCTAAGGGCCAGATTTACTAAACACTGCAAATTAGCGCCAACACGCAATTCCAAACCAGGGAAATCTCTGTGGGTGATTTACTGACAATGCGCAAATTAAAGAACACAGGCGCAACATCTCATTTACATATCGATCAATGCAATATACCAAGTGCAGCGCAAATTAGCATAGTTGCAAATTAGCAGAGCTGATGCTCATCAGGTGCGGGTGATCTACTTACAACACAGGCACAAAATAGTTTAAGACATGCTTTTTTTGGGTGGTAAATAATGGCGCAAATACCAGTAATTTGACGAGCGCAAACATTAGTAAATCGCGTTGCGTGATTCATTTTAATACTCTCCTCCCATAAATTTTGCGTCTGAAAGAGAAACTCCTACAAATGCATATTCAATAAGGTCAGGCGCAAAAATAACTGTGTCCACCCAAAAAAAGCACGCCTTTTCAGCGCTAAATCTTCACTGCGCATCTTTAGTAAATCCTGAGAGTACTATTTTAACGCCAGAAGACTACCGCCTAAGTGTGGGAGAAGGGTTATAGTAAAATCAATATGCAAAAGGCATTTGAAAAGCAGCAAAAATAAATGTTGAAATTATGGTAAAACTTTTCCAAGACCCTTTTAAAGTGATCATCATATAACACAAATTCAACAAGTTGGAATAAGGTGTATGTAGGTTGTATGTTTTTTGAATACTAGTCATCAACCTCCACAAACATCCAGCATCCATCCATATGATGTGACGGCAACCAAAACAATGTCCTCTCCACTGATAACTGGTGTGTGGTCAGAACAATTTAGCCAGTTCTTAGGAGGTCTCCCATCCAGATACTAGTTAGGCTCAACTGGGCTTAGTATTAGTGGATAGCCAGTCAAGAGCTGTGGGGCTATAATCTGTTGGCTTTCTCCTGCAGCAGACAATTTTCTGTGCTTTTTCTATTGTTGTATAGTGAATACAAGCAATTCTGTTAGTATACCGGTAGCTTAACTACAACTAAGCACAAATTACAAGAATACACATGTATTGCAGTGCAATGCTACAAATAGCTGTTATGATTACATGAAGAATTTACTGTTGGCTTTGTGTCATTAGTTAGGATAGAGGACGTTTTCTGTCGAGAGCTGTTGGCTTTGCATTTGTTTATGTGTGTGTGTGTCAGTTCAAGAACAGGCTTTCCTAAACAGCTACCGCACAAACAACCACCTGCGTTCTCCTGCCAACACTCACATATCATGCCTTTGTTTTCTCTCTGGCACCGAGTATCCACTTTCCTACCATAAGAACCCGCTCTGCTGTGGCGCTTACTGGGGCTGAATCCTTTGTTTGATTCTTTATCCTGTTGTAGAAGTCTAATGTGAAAACCAAGGACTCCATCTGCCGTCTGCCCAGTTGACGAAGACAAATGAAGAAGAATTTAGAGGAAGACTAAGGAGAGATTTCGGAATTAGATTGGACTGATTTCTGTAAGAGTAGCAAAACAGCATCAAACCAGACAGACCAGACTGCACATTGTAACAACATTTCAGTGCATTTCTAAAACAATTTGAAGACAAAGGACACAAAGATCACACTTAGGAGGACACAATTCCGGCACAAAGTAATTTCAGTTGTCCTGGAGATGCTGGATTTTTCTATAGAAGACATAAGCTCTATTCAAAGGGGAATAATTTTCTCTGAGGAGGTCAGCTTAATTTCTGTTTCTCAGACATACTTTATGAGTATGAATCACACATGCTTGTGCATTTTCACACAACCTTAGTAAAAATTACAGAGGAAAATACTGTTTTTCAGTGGTCCTCTGATACAATGTAATACTGTCTGGATAGGAATGTATGTGATGGCTCATTTTCACATGAATGCTTCTCCTCATTTATTTTGACTGTCGTTGAATCCTGTAGCTAAAGCTAAATTTCACGTTGCGCTGTCTGGTGCACCTTTATTACAACTTTCTAGATAACAGTTGGTGGCACAAGTGCTGTTGGCATGCCATCTGACATAAAACGATAATTAAATGAATAAGGAGAGCAGGGAAAACCGCCATTGTCAGAGTCAGCCATTTAAAAAAAAATTTCTTCCCTTAACTGATTTCTTTTAAATAGGGCTGCATTTATTTAATCAAAACACAGTAAAAACAATCATATTTTGTATTATTATTACAATTTAAAATAAGTGTTTTATATTATATATTTTAAAAGGTTAAAAATGTAGTCCTGTGTTGCAAAGCTGAATTTTCAGCAGTCATTACTCCAGTCTCTAGTATCACATGATCTTGCAGAAATCTAATATTATAATCTAATTCTAATATGCTGATTTGCTGCTCAAGACACATTTTTTAATATTATCAATTAAAAAAAAATTGGGTAACACTTTGAAATGCTTGATCTCATGGTAACAGGGACTTCTGTTATTGGCAGAATCAAGGAGGACTTCTCTTTTACAATTATGAGTAATGTAGTTTTTCCACCAGAAGTTCTTTTCCTAAATTTATCTTTAATGACACTGAACTCACACAGCCTTGTGGCTTCGACAGAGGCACATATTATTGAGTAACACTCTCAGATCTCCCAAATGTTTATTTTTTATTTAAAAAAAAAATCTCTATAGGAAGACATTAATGAGATTTTTACTCCCAGAACCAAGCTACTGTATGCCATAATTGCTGGAGAGTTCTTGATAAAACATAAAGTACCATTTGTGCTTGGGCAAAAGTTTGTTTCCTTTGGTCATTCCATTTTAAAGGCATGAAACCTAGGCGTATCTGGCCAAACATCATTTATAAATAGTCTGATTGCATCCTATCTATCAAGCAATGGTCAGATGAGAAGACTGGTGGAGCCCAGTCCTTCACATTACAGATCAGAGCTCTGTTTCAAACAGCCTGCGACACAGTACCTGCCGTGCGCTTGTGCATCAGCTCCACTCTAATCATACATGCCAGGCCGCATCCCAGCATGCCTCTCAAAGGCCATACACAGCTCACTGTAACCAATTAGAACTCGCCGTGCTGTGCCAACAATCTCTGGGATGACCGCCTGATGTTCAGCCCAGCAAAAAAAACAAAAAACGACAGATCAAGCCTACTAACTAAAAACCAAGCGTGCATCAGATCAATAAGCATCGATATGTGCAAAACATTTGCTGAAGTAGACATTTTAAAACCTCTTATAACAGGGTCATGCTCATCTAAAGCCGTCTGGATTTGCAATGCTCATGTGGCGCAGCGGGATACGCTATAGATTCTATCCTCAATGAGTCTGAAAACAAGCCACAGACAAGAAACAAGGAGATGGAGGATTTTAGTTTTTTTTTAATCAACCGACTGCAGGGGGAAAGACTTTGGACGGGAAAAACCAATTGAATTTTGAAATTGCTAGATTCAAAAGAGAAAGATAAGCACAAAGAACATTCTGTGGGATTTTCAGTGGCTTGTGTTTTCTCACAGTGATAAAAAACAGAGAAATCTGTGGCTACGTGCTGCCGCCAGGGTAGGCAGTTTTTTATCTGGACTCACCGAGCAGGGGCGGCAGCCAGTTGATGTTGGCTTCACAGTGAGAATCCAGGAAAGTAAGGACTTCTCCTCTAGCCACCGATGCTCCCAGCAGCCGTGTGCGGATCAGACCCTCTCGCTTCTTGGTGCGCACGATACGGACCTTAGGAAATCTGGACATGTACTCCTCCAGATGCACCCTCAGGTGCTCTGAAAAAGTGGCAGAGGAAAAAAAGACAGAGATTACTAGAAAGAATGCACCGGGAAAAAAGGAAATGACATAAGTCTAGGCTTGTGTTCAGTTAAAGGAAAAAGGAGGGAGATTGATTGTGTGTTGCGGTGCAGTGGTGCGGTAATTTAATCTCAGAATTGTTTCTCTATTCTCGTGGCCCCATTCAAGGGCATTAATGTTTAACACCCCATAAGATTCCTCCATTGTTAACACTTAAATTAATTGCTGAATGTCTTAGTTTCTAGAATATTAATCAGAACAAACAGACCCAATGTTAATTCTTTGGCTAAACTTAATTCAATTGCAGTTGTTCTACATGTTGGAAATGAGTTTTCATAACCAAAAATTACAATGAAGGCTCGACTCAAACACTTTGCGCAATGCAAGTAAAGAAACTTAGTTGATTGAACAAGTACCAATAATAGTAGATGTGAGTAATTCAAACGTTTTCAGGTAAGTTACAGCGAACATTAAACTCTAAAATGTCTCCCTGTTTTTTTTTCATTCAAAAACACAAAATAATATTTAATTTATTCTTCTGCTCCAGTCAGATGCAAAGCATCATGGGATCTAGAACTCCACTGCCCTGTTTCAGTCAATGCAATAAAAATGATTCATGTAGTCACACAAATGGATTAAGTAAATTTCCATTTTACAAAACTGAACATAGTGAAATTATGACAAAATGCTCAAGAATTGCTACATTAGCTCATTAAATTTATATATCTTTTATGCCCAACACTGCTACACTTGGAAATCAGCTTTCAATGCAATGTTTTTCAGCCAATATGGATGCACACACATCTTTAATTATGTGAATGAGGTAAACACAAATGAAAAGCGAAACAGATGGAAAAAGTAGATTTTCTCAGTGTTAGTCAGGGAGTGGGTAATGTATTTGACCCCTTTCAGTGACAGCACAAAGAAACAGCAAAGGCAGTCATTTCAAAAGGAAAAAAAATGGAGGGAAGTCTTATCTTTCCACACATTACTGTTTGTTCATTTTCAGAAGCAGCAGGAGTTTGCTGCAGCTTGTCGACCGTTTGCATATTATTCAAATACAAAGCATTAATACCTACACAAACTCAATCACCACTTCCCAGCTGCTGTGTCTGTGCATGAGTGTGTGCGTGTGTCCATGTGACTTTGTGTGATTAGATGCTTTGGAGGTACCAAATACATGGGCTTTGGATTACCACCAATAACATAAATCCATTAGGTACAGCAGCCATGTGTTGATGGAAGGTTTGAACTGGAAGGACCGGTGAATTTCTTCATTACATATGAAAGCTGTGAAGCAGGCATCAATAAAGTTATGCACATGAAAAGAGTCACGCTTTGACTGAAAGGTTTGTGTGCTATGTTTGACTTCAAGAAGGAATCGTTCATACATTTAAAAACCTCTAAAGTTTTCACATTAAAGATGCTATAATGGTTCTTCGTGCTTCATGAATCCTGAAAGAGATGTCTTCAAATCAAAACACTACATTTTTTTTCAAAGCACACAAACAATGTTTGACAAAATGCATCTATAAACAGCTGATATACATCCACAACAGCTGTGGTGTTCCTAATAGGGATGAGCATGAGCACTTGAGAACTAGAGTACTCAGAAATGACAGTAATGATCTGTAATTACTTTCTTTTTTTCATCCAATTATATACAAACACATCAAAAATAGTTTTCTATTTAATAGTTTCAGTTACTTACAGTGCATGCATAATTTCTAAGCCAATGAGCATTTCATATAATTTGTATTTATAATGTGCTTGAAAAAATAAGATCAGAATATCAACTTGCCTAATAATTATGCAATTCTGTAGGCTTGAAATGCAGAAGGAATGTATGTAAGCCATAATTTACACTGAAACCTAATGGTGTGTGCACACCAAAAGAGAAGCGAATATTTGTATTACGTTACATGCTCTTTTTCCTGCCACTCGCATTAATAAAAACATAATAATGCTGTCTTCCATTTTCTGATACAATCGGACATGTAAAATTGGACATGTCAATAAGCTCTTCGCTGATTGGCTTGCGTGACAATACGTCATGTGAATTTCTCGCTCAAGTTGACATTTTTCAACTTGCATTGAAGATGCGATTGAGACGAATATCGTGTGTTTGCAGCAATCGCGATGCCCAATTTGTGTCATTCACTTTGCCTGGTGTGAATTTGCGTCCTTGCATTGACTTTGTATGTAATCTACTCACACAAATAATTCAATTCACTTTTGGTGTGCACACACGATAACTCTACAGAGCTTTGAAAATATTGCAACAACATTGTCTCAACCAATTGCGTGAGTTTGGGGTGGGCTGTTTATCTAAACCAGTAGCAATATGCAGGAGTGTTTAGGAAACCTGTATGACAACAATCATTAATTTTATTTCAATTTTGAAAATGTTAATCGATACATTTAATTTAGAAAATAAGTAGCACAGTGATCTGATGTTTTTCCCTTTTGTTTTTAAGGGAGAATTTATTTAACAATAAACCCATGTGACATGATATTTACACGTATGATGTCTATACACCTCCGGTAAACTCCAAAAAAGACCCATTGTGTCAGAAATGCAGCACTGACATATTTATTTTTAATATGGCACTGAAAAGATTGGCAACTTAATGACAGTAGCACTTCAGACCCTCAGAGAGTTTCTGGTTTGTGTACAGAGAGCTCACTGCAGGCCCCCAATGCAATTATAAACAACCCAAACAGAGCAGGACATCTGTGATGAAAAATAAAAGAGTATATTAGCCGATGGGGAGACAGTATGTGGGGCGTTCATCTGGTGGACGTCTAACAGCAATGTGTGTGTGTGTGTGCATGCGTGCTTGTTTCTCTTGTTCAGTTCTTTCAGGCCAGAGGCCAAACTCACTTCAGGGAACCTCCAGCTGCATCCTCACTGTCTACTAAACTCCGACAAAGTCACCTGCCAGCGCAAAAGTTGCATTCAAACCTTTCTTTTTGTTGCTTTCCTTCTCGCTCTCTCTGTTCTTCTCAACTCCCAGGGTGTCTGGCCTTCAAATAAATGGCCCCAATAAAAGTGACAGCCTCAATATGAGTTGCCACTGTACTCTGATCCCACTGAGCTGAGGTGGGGAGGAGACTCGCAAAACTTTTCCAGGCTGCTGTTTTAGTGTAAGTGGCTCACAGAAGCGAAAGTGTCGGGTGGGTTTTCTCTCTCTCTTTTTCCATGTCCTACGAGCGCTTGATTAAACGAGGTCATAAATCATTGGTGCTGATGTGTGGCAGGCCGAGCGGTGGGGAAGGAAGTGACAAATAAACAGTTATGTGGAAAAGGCAAAGTTTCGTATCCCGCTGGCATATGGCTGACAAGTCATGATGAAGGCCAGGCGCATTCTCTGCTTTGATGGTTTGCAGACAGACCTCTCTGGGCCACTACCTTCCCAACCTGGGTGGAAAATTTCATTTTTCTCTTTCCCTGGTGGTCTGTCATTAAGACAGATGGTCGAGAACCACTTGCACCGTTCAAGGTTTTGATCGTTTTTGAGACAGAAGCACATCTTCCCGCACTGTACCCTTCAAATCACATTCAAATCAACACTGGTGAGATGTGAGACTCTCTGAACAGTGCTTCATTAGAGCTTGTTTCTTTGATACAAGAGCTACGGAGGGGCTAAAATTACCACTGTCTCTGCAATTCAGACTTAATGAGCCAGAGATTCACACCAATGAATCACTTGCTTTAATTGTTGCTGCGTTACTGCATGAACTCACTCAGAACCATATTGTTTTACTGGTGCGGTTGGTAATAGGAAGACAAAAGAATATCCCCTATTATTAGCTGAGAGGCATAAAAGATAATAATTGCAGCTCTGACCATATAGTGCCCTTTGGTATCCTTTTTTTTTGCAAACTATCAAAGGACACTGATCATTAATGTGAGTTTCTAAGGTTATTTGGGGGTGAGGGGGTTGGCATAATAAAAAAAAGAAAAAAAGTAGCACACAGAATATCTAATAGGGTCAGGACACACAATTGAGCCACACATACATACAAACAAAGAACAATGTGAAAATTTGCTTTTCAAAGACCTCACAAGAGTTCAAATTCTGAAGTTAATTAGGAACATAAATATGCAAGCTTGTACAACAAAAACAGCTGGATGCAAAAGACGTTGTGTTTGTCTGTGGATGTTTTTGTGTTATGTGCAATTACAGACACTGTAGAAATGCTGCTGAGAAACTAATATAGGATTTATTGGAATTAATAATATTTATTCTACACTGAAGCAGATTTCTTTTGCTTCAGAATGCACTACGTTAAAAAAATATTTAAAAAAAATTAAGAAATCATTCCAATTCAAAATCAGTTTCTACTGTATTTTAGCCAAATAAATGCAGCTTTGGTGAACATAAGAGACACTTTTCAAAAACATGAAAAAAATTTTGCTGACCCCAAACTTAAAGGGATAGTTCACCCAAAAATCTTTATGTACTCACCATAAAGTTGTTTCAACCCTGTAAAAGTTTAAAAATTGATGGTCCCTATTGACTTCCATAGTATTTTTTCCATACTATGGAAGTCAATGGGGACCATCAATTGTTTGGTTACCCACTCTCTTCAAAGTATATCTTCTTTTGAGTTCATTAGTATATGTAATTTCCTTCACTTAAAGAGCAGGTCATATGCTTTTTTAAAGTGTCCTAATATTGTGTTGGAGTCCCCTACAACAGATTTAAATGCATCTAAGGTCAGAAAACACTGTAAATTTCCCAGAATATACATTTATACATAGAGTCATTTGTCCATGATTTCGAAATGGTTTGTTAGATTCAGTTCTGAGCAAAAGGTCTGTAAAACCCTCCCTTCCATAAGCCTACTCTGCTCTGATTGGTCAGCTGGCCAAGCCTGTTGTGATTGGCACAAAGAGGAGCGCTTGAGCAAGTTAGCGAGAGCTACCATCTGTGTTGCCAAGTCTGCGGTTATTTTTGATGTCGTGGGTTGT